ATAGAGAGAGAGAGAGAGAGAGAGAGAGAGAGGGAGGAACTCAGAGAAGAAAATATAAACTTGAATTTGGGTTGGAGTCATCATTCTACTACTTATTGGTTTCATTGTCTTTTGTAAGTTACTTCTGTGAGCCTTGGTTTAATTGAACTGAAAGTGGAAATTATAGCAGTGTTTACCTCATTGATTTTGGAGATGAAGTGAAATGGTAAAATAAATTATCCCTTATTTAAAGGGATAATTTGAAACCCTTAATATAGTGTCTGGCACATAGTAAATTATCAGATGTTAGCTATTATTACTACAATGCTGAATAGATCATATACTTACTATGTTATATATAACATGGATTAGTTGTTCATCTATAGCAAAAGAGTTAGACAATACTTTTTTTTTAGTTAAAAATTCAAGTTTAGGGTTTTTTGGCAAAAAGAAAAAGAAACCAGTATGTTTCAATATTTTAGAAGTACGAGGAATCCATTATTAGAAAACATGGAAGAGTGTTTAAAACATGCATTACAAATATTTGCTTCAGCCTTTGAACATCATATTTAATAACTGATCTTAAGACAATAGTGTGGAAGCCTGGCTGGTGTGGCTCAGGTGGTCGGAGTGTTGTTCCATTCACCGAGATGTCGCCTGCACAACTGTCTGGGCAAAAGCCCAGCTTGCCGGTTTGGTCCCCCATCCAGGTGCATGCAGGGGCAGTCCATGGATGTTTCTCTCTCTCTCTCCCCCTTCCTCTTTCTCTAAAATCAATAAGAGCATATTTTTTAAAAAAAGAGGACAGTGTGGAAAATATTATTTAACAAGCAATTACTTAATATACATAATTAAAGAATATCAAACAGATCAGACTCTACAATAAAAAATTATTACTGTATAGATTTCTAGATTAGTTTCTGGAACAATAGCCCGTTTTCTGAGTTTCTCTAGAATTTTCTGAAGAAAAAGAAGTCAGTAGTATCCCATTCTGCAGTCAGCTCACAGTAACTTGTCTCTCAAGGCGCCTGGAACCGCCCCTCG